GCATTTCAAGTACTAGAGAATTGAGCTTTGGAATGTACATGCATTTGAACCTTACGTTCGATTACGTTCTAAAAGTTTCTATACGATTGTACGTCTAGAAATTAAATTATTCAACAACAAAAATTCGTATACTATTGCCTACATTGCAGCGCAGCCCAAGTGCAGTCGCTGCTTACTGCGCCGTTAGCAGAGCGCGTTGTTATACGTGCGTCTGGATGCATGTGTATGTATGTGTGCATAGAAGAAGTGCAGAATGATTAGAGGGTTTGGAGGGTTCAGGGTATCTCCTAGTCGAGCAGTCTCGACTAGAGCCTTCTTACTTGTTTATAACTGAAACTTGAAGTTTCATTTACATTCACGATTTTGCATGAACTTATTAAATATAAGGTACTCTACCGTAAAGGCTTAAGACAAGTCTTTTACGAGCTGCACCAGATATCCAACCTATTTGTACCTGGACTCAAACACTCATCGATGGATCAACATAATAAGTGCACAAGGAATATTCTTGGCTATCCAACGCATCTCTTTCATTTTCTTCCCTGCTCTCATAGCTTCCGCATTATCCAGTTGTCTGGTCGTCCCGTCCTGTCCAGTCTAGCCCTCTTGCTGATTCATCCTTGTTCCTCATGCATATACTGCCTGTGTCTACGCCTTTTTGCATCTCCGTTTTCAATCAAACTATTCTTAGATCAACTTTTTTTTTCAATTTGTTTGTGCTCGGTTTTTTTACACCTTTGACAGTTCCTTTGTAGAATTTTCCTTGCCAACGCATTTAACTCGCCCTAATATGCGACACTTCCTTATTTCAATCACTGTGCTTGGCACCTCCCTATTCTAGGTCTCATCTTGTTGCCCATCCGTGTTTAGTGGCTCTTTTGCTGCTACCCTCCATTTTCCTACGTCAGTATGCATTTCCTTTACGACATTTCCATTTAACGCTCTTTGAGCCGGGGGAAAAAAGTGAACATAATGTGAGGTAGTCGCATCTTTTTGCAGTTCCCTCTTGGTTGTAAGCATTAACAAGCTTTCCTCTCTGTCTATCCCCCCAACGCTCTCTCTCTCTCTCTGCTTTTTTTTTTTGCTGTTCTTCACTTTGCCCGACTCGCAAATCCTTTTTTGAAAAAGGCTTAATGTCTGATTTGGCTGCACGGTAATCCGCTTTCAACTATCTACAGTCTCTGTCTCTATAAATATATACATAAATATATATTTATATATATATATATATGTATCTAAAATGTATATATGCATATTATTGGACCAGCCCTCCCACCTCTCACAGCGATTTAAGCACCTTTCCGATTGACAGACAATGTCACCCTGCTGCCTCAAACTGAGTATTTAAGTCGACATCTTTATGAAATAGAGCTTGTCAAACTTTAATAAGCTAAGTTTGATTGAGCCGTATGTCATGAGAGAATATTTAACAGCTGTGCTGTTCTGTCACTGGAATTTACGTGCAATATTCAGCTGCTGCTAGCATAATTAGCTGCTAATTGACAATGTAATCAATTAATTGAATTAATAAATAAATAGTTAATATTTTGTTTTTTTTTTAGAATTGACATGAATCCAATATTCTTAATTAAATTTCTTCTATGTCACGACTGTACGAATCAAAGCCACAATAACATGTACTTAACATATGTTAACTTGTACAGCAGCAACTTAACATTGAGTGAGATACTTAAGATTGAAATCTAATTTACTTAGGTGCTCATATTTCAGGGAGGACTAGATTGCTATAGACTTTCTTTGATAATATACCTGGTTCGATAGGTCTCCTAAAAATCACTAGTTGAATATTGTCCATTGAGGGTTGTACAGTAAGAAAATGATCTCTCTTGATCTACCAAAAATCCTTGAAATGTATGTATAAGACTGTCACCTCTAACCAATCGGAGTAATACAATATCTTCTACAGTTCTCTACAGACCCCTTTCCGGCATATTTACCAAAAGATTTTCAACTATTTATATAGTTAGTTATTAAGCTAAATCTTATTCACGCTGAATTCATTCCGACTCACAACGAGTCTAGTCGTGGGTCCATTTGAGTCATTCACTGTGACTCGCATTACTTTTTCTAGACATTAGCTTGACTGACTTGAGCTAATCTCATTGCCTCGTTTAGCGCTCGCCAGTATATTGTATATTTTATTTTTATTTTTTCCCTCTAATTATTTGCAGCCGTTGGGAGCTACAACGTGTCCTAAACTGTTCCATCGCTTGGACAGGCGGTCATTCCGCAGACAATGACAACAACAACAACAAAAATAGTAACAGCAACAGCAACACTAATTGCAACAACAACTGTTGGAGCAATGGCAAATTGTACAAATGCCAACTGTTTGGCTCTGTGGTTTTGCGGTGGCTCGCCAGAGTTGGCTTTTGGGTGGTTGTGTCAGGAATTCGTTTGTTAATTATCTGCTCATGTTATTGTCTTGTGGCTGCACTGCGCTACGCTGCGCCATGTCACGCCATGGCACGCCGATCAGAGCAGCATCCCGTAACTCCCACACACAGACACAGACACAGTTACCTTTTACTTGGGGAATTCATTTACATGTGTCAACCCACGCTGGCATTTCCGTCGTAATTGCCTTGTGTAATTTCTTCCTTTCATAGCTGCATTGATAGTTCTTCATTTGCGCTCGCCTCTCTACAGTCGCTATTTATAATTTAAACAATTTCGAGTTTTGCAACATCAGGCATATTTTCCTGTTCAGCTTGCTCTTCCCATCTTTATTTAAATTTTTCTACAATAATTTTGAATTTGATAAGGTTCTATAATTACTCTCTTCGAATCTGTATTTCTAGTCTGCTACAATTTTTGATACATTCCTCTTCGATTTCTCTCTTCCCATCTCAATTTCACCTCCTCAACAATTATTTTGAGTTTCATTGATTCAATCTTCTTCGAGTTCCCCCTTTTCATACCTATTTCTATTTTTCTACGATTTCTCTCTTCCCATCCCTATCTATATTCTTTTACAATTCAAAAGAATTTCATTGATTCATTCTTCTTCTATTTCTCTTTTCCCTTCTCTATTTATATTCCCTTCCAATTATTTTGAATTTGATTCATTCTTCTTCAATTCCTCTCTTCCCATCTCTATTTCACTTCGTCTACCGTTATATCAGTGACTTATTTTTCATCGATTTCCTCCATTCCATTTCCATTTCTATTGTACGACTACTCAGAATTCATCAGAATCCTTCTTCAATTCCTCTCTTCCCATCTCTCTCTCTACTTGATTCTTTCTTCTATTTTTCTCTTCCTTTTTCTATATTCATTTTTTTTACGATTATTTAAAATTTCATTGATTCATTCTTCTTAGATTTACCTCTTTCCATATCTATTTCTATTCTTCTACGATTCGTCTCTTCTCAACTCTATCCATATTTTTCTACAATTATTTAACATTTTATTATTTCATTCTCCTTCAGATTTTCTCTTCCCATCTCTATCTACATTCTTCTTGAATTTCATTGATTCGTTCTTCTCTTCCCATCTCTATTTACATTCTTCTACAATTATTTTGAATTTTATTGCCTTTTCCAGCTCAACCAGTTTGAAAACCAATTCCCATTTATGTATGTCTATATTTAGATATTTTTCTCGAATTCCTTTCATTTCACAAATCCTTGCCTCCCTTCCTCCTTCTCTTTGCTCTGCGTATTCTTTTTTTAATGCGCATTTAACGAGCTTTATTTTTGTTTTAGTCATTAATTTGTATTCATTGGGCTAACGGTGTTTCTATCTACCTGCTGCAGTACCTTTCCATTCTACCTGTTCGTAATCCACTTTTTATTCAGGTTTTCCATTTCCAGTCTGGGTATTCAGTTCCCATTTCGCTGTCAGCCGGTTAACAGGTTGGTGCCGCCCATTTAATCAGCCTTGGGGCTATGCCAGCTCGCAATTGAAGTGCCTGTGCTTCCCTGTGTATGTGTGAATATGTGTGAGTGAGTGGAAGTGTGGGTGAGTGGGTGGCTGTTTGGTGACACGTCTATTTATAGAACTAAAGGGCAGCATGCGTATCTCCCCTTCTGTGTGAGGTGTCCGACGGCAGCTGTGGCTGCGAGCATTGACAACTTAACGGAAAATCATTTTAAATGCTGTTGGCATTTGCACCGCCTCCACTCGTAACCCTTAACCCCACAACACCACAAGCCCACAACCCCACAGCCCCACTACCTCAGTCCCAATCAACAACCACAGAAGTTTTGAGCGCTCTCGACCACAAATGAAATTTCAGTATCTGTTTGCAGCAGATAGTGGACGTAGTGTTAAAAATTCACCTGCTTTTACAGGACGGCAAAGTCGCTGTAAACCACTGATTCGAGAAGTGGGCCGAACTCTGCTGCGGCTGCAGAAAATGGACAAGTGGACAAATATTCCAAGTTATTTGAAACGTGAGTCAGTCCGTCGCAGCTGGACAAAACTAAATGAGACCACATGCCGTTTATAGTCAGCTCAAACCGAATAAATTAGCATTGAGTATAGAGAGAGATAGAATGATTGACGGTTTAAGCTTGCTTGTCCTTCACCTTCTGTAATATATCAAGCCGAATACCCATTTCTAATAGATCAATCTCTGCTTATCAACTATCGAGTACACTTAAATCGTCTTATAATACTGTTAGTGGTAAACGATTAGTGGACGATAGCCCATAACCCATGCCAAGATTGATGTTAGCATTATAGGTAACTAATCAATTAGCATCTGATTAACCTTAACTGAAACTGAGAACTAAATCCTTATCAATATGGCAATAGATACCGATTTCGATATCCGATAACTGAAAGCTAGGTATTTTTAAGGTTTAACGTTTTCACTGTAACGATAATGATAATATCGACACCAGAGATAACAATTGACTTATATAACATGAAATCTGATGTTAAGACAACTTCGGCGTCCGATAACTTAAAAAACGATATCTATACAGTGTCAATCTCTTATTAAATCGAAATGTTTCATTTGTTCTACTTACGCTGCGAATTGGAGCGCCGTATTATGTTCTCAAGGAATGTGTTCTGCGGCGCAACCAGTCCACGTCGTCCGCCAGGCATTTTGGTGCCTAATCGTTACGCCGCGTCGCCGCTCTTCGATGCCCTTTAGCTGGCACCTGAAGTCCTCGTCAAACAGCTGCGCCTGCGCCCGCTTCGGCACCTGCCCGCTTGCACCTGCAACTGCAACGGCAACTGCAACGGCAACGGCAACTGCAATTGGACTGTGGATGGATGGATGTGGCTGTCTGTTTGCTTTTAGTTCAGGTCTTGAATCGCTCTTGTGCTCTCGCTCTCTCTGTCGCTGTCTCTTTCTGTGTGCTTTGCCCGCTCGATCGTTGGGCATTCGCTTAGAGCAGCAACGCGTCAACGGCGACTGCGACTGCGACTGCGACGTTGCTGTGCAGCGCTACATTTTGGTTGCGCTGACCGCCCGCCATTTTGTTCAGATCACTAACGACGCACGCACACACTTACACACACACGTACGCACACACACACGCGCAACGCGACGCTTGGAATTTCGTTATTGCTGCTGCCTTGCTTCCTCCAGTTGATATTGTGTGTTTGATTCTTCTTGTTGCTGTTGTTATTGCTGCTGCTCCTGCTCCTGCTCCTCCTGCTGTTGCTGTCGCCTTTCCTTGACCACTTCACACAGTCTTATCGGTTGCATATGGCACTGCAAAGAGAAACATATAAAATATAGCATACTTTCGAGCAGCTGCCAAAATAAAATTCATGTGGGACAAAGGCGAAATGGAGAAATTTTGTTGATGCTGCAATAATGCAATTTTTTTACTTGGCGTTATTTTTACTAAAAAGAAAATGCAACAGCAGCACGAGGTGCACTCAAAAAGTATTGCGAATTTCATTGCAATATCCTGAACCCATCGAAAATGGGAAATCAGGGTATGATTTTGTTGAAAAAGGATGTAGTGGGCAGAAGGAGACGGAGGAGGAGGAAGTATATATATTCTTGATCAGGGCGACGAGCTGAGTCGATTTGGCTCTGTCCGTCTGTCCGTATGTATGAACGCGTCGATTTCAGAAGATATAAGAGCTAGAGAGTTTATCACCAAAACTCGATAACTCATCCCGTTATTTTTTATCGATAAAAACCTTATCGAAAATCAGTTATAAAATGATATCCCCTACATCTTTAAAGATAGTCTCCAAGTTTTCAAAGTTGCTCGAAGGGTTCAGGGGATCTCGTAGTCGAGCAGTCTCGACTAGAGCTTTTTTACTTGTTTTTCAAATGTTATTTCAATATGATTATATATTTTCCTTCTTTCAAAGCTATTCCTATGTATATATTTATGCTAACGATTTTGTCAATCATTTTTAAAAGTAGATAATAAGAAAACGGGATGAGTTATCGAAAAAAAAATTGTATGCACTCGTATAAAATATCATGTTTGCTTTTGGGGCTCACGAGATTGCTGCATTCATGACTGATAGACTGATATACAGATCGACGCACGGACAGACAGACAGTCAACTGATCACAAAGGCAGATGGACTTAGCTAGTTATCGATTTGTTGAAACAAACAGGGAACCTTTCAAGTTTCCAGCTCTTGTACTTTCTGTGCTGCGTTCAGACAGACGGACACACGGTCAGGGCTATATCGACAAAGATCGTCGACCTGATCAAGAATATATATTGCGGATTGCCCATCTACAGGGTATAAAAATGAGCAGAAAGTGGTAGAATTCAACAGTTAAAAGATAATAAGATAAAAGTATTTAAGAAATATGCCAGATATCTTAGAAAACCCTAATGAAAATATTCATAAATACCAAGAAATATATCTGTAAAATATCCCTTGGCTATTCCATAAATAATAAGTAAAATTCCTGTTTGTAATTCCATAAGACACAAACTATTTATAATCACGATTTAGCCCTAAGAGAGAAGGAAGGAAATTCGCGATAAAGAACGAGAAATTCGTGAAAATAGCCAGCGACATGAAATCGCGGACGACAAATCACATAAGACGCAGCTCAACATTTTCTTTTGTTCGATTTGCTGGTTCTACCCTCCTCCCCCCCACTACTCAGGCATTGCGAATGGGACTTATGCAATGCCCGACTCGTGGCTCAGTCTCAGTTTCGCTATCCCTATCTTTATCTGTCTACCTCTCTCTCTCTCTCTCGCTCTCTCACTCGCTTTCCTGTTGTCTATCCCCATCGCCTTTTCGTTTATTTAATCGAATTGATTTTGTGTGTGCATTTATGCAGAAATTGTGCAAATCGAGCGCAAGTTACGCAATTAATTATGAAAGCAATTGTCTTTCTGGTTACACCGGGCGTATACTCAATCTGTTTAGTACAGCACGAGAGCAATAAGTCCGCCTGACTGCCTATTCGAGTATGTGGCCAATGCCGCATCGCTGCACGGACAACAGCACTCAGCTGCGGGTCCATTGCGGCCATCTGACCAGCGCATCATCTGCATCTATATACTATGTAAAGTATTTATATCAAAAGATATCTCTCACAGCTGCAGTCGCTTTGTTAGCTTAGAATCACATTCATTTCAATTGGGCAGCATTGATGCGAAGTTTACGTCTGAATGCCAACCAATTCCATTACGCTTTATATACCCAGGCACTGCGAGTGTGCATGACGACTTGAATAGCAAGCAACAAATATCTACACTGAATACGGTTTCTATATAAGTAGTATTACTTCTTAGATTGAATGGGAATTCTTCGAAATGTATCTGTGTCTGCTTGCTGTCTCCCTTGCTACGTAAACTAATTGTTACTTAATGCAATTAAGTATTTATAAACACCTTGATGGATTAATGTTTAACATGCTGCATATATATGTGGCTGATAGTAATTGAAATTTAACTGTCGCATACACTTTTAATAAGACGCAACCTATGAGGGCTGCTACAATGCTGAGTATAAAATCAACTTTAAAACTAAGCTGTGGAATTTGTGAATTTTCACACGGATATCTTGTTAAGTAAACTTTTTTATATTAGCAATCTTAGTTTGCTCAAATGCTTAGAGCACAGTTTTAAAACTTATTTTAATCCTCCTTTATATATAATAACTTTATACTATAATAAAATGCAATTAAAAATTGAATAGTGAAAAGTGAAGTTTGCTGATCGGTTATTCCTAAGCTAAATAATTCATTATTTTCCCTTCCATTATATTGTTGTTCAGCAATTGTGCTTTTTAAATATCAAATTTTAATGGCTTAAAAAGACTAGTAGAATAATAAAATAATGAAGATTAAAACAGAAGAAATGTGAGTCAATAGATGCTGAGTAAATTATTTTCATAGTCCATATTCGGCGGGCCCATTTGGCAACCCTATATATTTTGACAGAGACGGGCACAATACGCCGTAAAGGCATACAGGCGACACTCAAGCGACCGTCGGTATACCCGGAAGACTCTTTGACCGTATAAGTTTGCTCATATAACTTTGTCTGGGGACCAGAATTTTCGTTGCAATAACCGTACGCTATAAACGCTATAAACGGAGTTGTTGTAACCAGATTCTAATGTATATCATATGCAAAAAGTAATGTCAACATATCTACTTGAACCAAATAATATGATAATTGTCGTCAACTTCAAATAAAATTTTGTTCTTAGAAAGAAAAAAAAAAAAAAGAAATACATGGATCTATCGATCCAACTGCCAGCATCAACGTTAAATCATTTGAATGTATTATACAGCAAGTAATTATAAGTACTAAGAGCGGAATTTGTAATTGCATTTGCAGCAGCGGACCTTTTCCCTGTGCTCAGTCTCCCTGTGCTCGCTTACTGCAGATGAGCAAATGAAGAGTAAAAGCATTGTTAAATTGAAACTAATTGCGAGCAGTCGTACTTTGTCTTGCTAATTCCATGAACAAAGAAGCCACAAGTTGCAAATTATGTTATGCTCGCGCATTATGAAAGGAGTATTTTAGTGCTGTAACGTTTAATAAACTTTGCTTGTAAAAAAAAGTATTTACAATTTTTACGGAAATTTCTTTACATTTGTATGAATTTGAATGGTCATCTTATCCGGCGACTTTATGAGCAAGTGGACTACGACAGAGTATTGTATAAAAGTAGTATAGTATAACAGAAGATCTACAATCGTTGTTCTTTAGATAGAAACAGATTTTGGCAGTGATGCTCTCGCCCTTCGATTCTTAAATAGATCAGTTAAATCGCTCATATGCTCACAGCAATGCGAATCAGAATCTGTCAATCCGTCGTTAGCCTGGATTTATAATCCTAAATCAGCATGTGGCCATCCATTCGGAAACAGGCACGATGTGCGAAAAGTGTTGTTACTACTATCGTAGTAGACTTGAAGAAGTCAACGTCGCGTCGGCGCCAGCATTCGAGACGCTATTGCAATTTCGAACTTAATGCCATGAATGCAGCATCAAAATAAAACCATAAACAGAGTAATAAAGCAAATCTATTTGGTTTTATTGCCCCCTGTTTTGTATATCATTTATTTGAATTGCTGTAGTAGTAGTAGTAGTAGTAGTAGAAGTTGGGGAAAATGTAAAACTCTAAAATGAATAATAAAGCCAACTGCATGGAATACAAGCTTATAGTTGGCCAGGCAACGGACTAACGTAACAATTATCTCTAAGTAATCCAAGATGTATCGAATTGGTTTAATTACGTTGATATTTACGTATAATTAAGAGCTATTGTGTACATTAAATGTCAATCAAAGGTGTTGAACACAAACTATCTAATACGCACATGCAGCGCAATGCAGCTCGATATAGAGACAGAGAGGGAGAGAGAGAGAAAGAGAGAAAAAGAGGGAGGCAGAGGGAGTGAGTGAATGGGTTGCATTTGAGAGCTGCTAACAAGTAAGTCGATGTATGTCAGTTAATTAGAGCTGTATATACATACTCACATACATATACACATACACATACACATACATAGATGAACTAGCTGTTGTGAGCGAATTTGAGCTCATTTGAAACTTGTGCGATAAGCGCTGGACTTGGCTGCAGCGCCCTCTGTTGTTTATTATTCTTACTTATGATGATGTTGTTGTTGCTGGTTGCTGCTGGTTGCTGCTGTTTGTTGTTTGTTTGTTGTTGAGCTGAGCTCAGTAATCTTTAATTTCATTAAAATTCAAACAGACGCAGTCCTCCGCTCTGCCCGACTCATTGTTGCTGTAGTCGAATGTAGTTAGTGCCTTATTAGAGAACGCGCACTTTGCCGGTCGAGCGCTCTCAGGCATTCATGAATTTCAGGCTTTAGTGCGTTGGCTGACGCGATACGCTGCTACCTGGAGCCGAGCTGGCAGCAGGATAAAAGAAAGCAATGAAGCTGGGCCCCATGTGGGAGTGCATGGGGCGGGTAGGTGAACAGGCGAGCGGGGTGAGCGGGCGAGCGGGCGAGCAGGAGGCGAGCGCTGCTAGCTGTTAGCTGCATTGCAAATTTAGTATGATAAGGCAGCCAGAGCCTGACCCAGTTTAAAACTTGGGTCAAGAGTTGGCCTTTAATGCCCTCATTGCAAATGGCTAAGAACAGAGAGGCTATAATGCTTTTAAGATAGCTTATAAAGCAGACAAAAGGATGCGGCCAAGTAGAACTTTGAGACAGCTTACGACTTGAAGTTTGGACTTGGAAATAAGATTGTAGCCTTAATGCAGGACAAAGTTATGTAATATCCGTTAGATTATA